TTGGGTAGATGGGTAGGTAGGTGGATGGATAGATAAGTAGGTGGGTAGGTAGATGGGTAGATAGATAGATAGGCAGGCAGGCAGGCAGGCAGGCAGGCAGAGACAGACAGACAGACAGACGGATGGATGTAGAGCAATAGTGTTTTTACAGCCCTCTTTGTGGTTTAGAGAGTCAGCCTGTTGCCCCCTACAATCTGGGTCCTCATTTTACCCACCTCAGAAGGATGGAAGGCTTGAGCCAGTCAGGATTGAACTGCTGGCAGTGAGCACTGAGTTAGCCTGCAACAGAGCATTTTAGCAACTGTGTCACCACGGGGAGGGAGGGAGGCTGGGAGGAAGGAAGGAAGAAAGGAATAGGAATAACACTTAGACTTATACACTGCTTCACAGTGCTTTACGGCTCTCTCTGAGCGGTTTACAGCTTCTGGCCCCCAATAATCTGGGTCCTCATTTTACCCACCTCGGAAGGATGGAAGGCTGAGTCAACCCTGAGTCAGCCAAGGAAGGTTGAGAGTTCAATCCCAGGCAGCGACAGATTTTTCTCTATCAGGGCGCAAAGAGAAAATATTTGCGGCGAACTTTGCCTAGGCATCAGGAAAGGCATCCGGCCAGTAAATGCTCAGCTCCATTCAGTTGCTCCGACTCCACCCTCCCCCAAAAAAGGGATTTATAGGTAGTCTTCGACCTACAACAGTTCATTTAATGACTATTACAACGGCACTGAAAAATGTGACTTTTGGACCGTTTTTCACACTTACATCCTTTGTAGCATTCCCATTAATCCTGTGTTCAAAATTCAGACGCCTGACAGCTGACTCGCATTTATGACAGTTGCAGCGATCTCCCGGATTAGGCGATCCACTTTTGCGACCTTCTGAAAAGCAAAGTCTGAGTCTGGGGGCGCCAGATTCACTTAACAACCGGGTAACTAACTGATCACCTGCGGGGATTCGCTTAACGACTCTGTGGCCAGGAAAGCCGTAAAGTGGAGCAAAACTCACTTAACGAACGCCTCACCTGACAACAGAAATTTTGGGCTCCATTGTGGGCGTCCGTCAAGGACTAAAAGAAAACTAAAATTGTCTGTATTAAAAGAAAAATAAATCCAATGTATAAATGCATAGAAACATTTCACATTGCGCTAAATATATTCGCTAAATATATTTGCGTCGATAACTGTTCGTTTTGCCCATAAGCCTTAAAGTCTCTGAATAATTTTCTTCTTCCTCTCCTCAACCCAACCCCCTCCCCCCCCCCTGCTCACAGGTGAGGTCCTGAGAGGGGACCGCATTGTCAACACACCTTTCCAGGTTTCCATGAATGTGGAGAAGAAGTGCGAGGTGTTGTGTGACGTCCCGAACAAGCCCGTTGTGTTGACGAAGGAGAAAAGCCAGCTGGTGGTGGAAAGGATCCAGGAGGAATACTATGTACACCTGTGAGTCTCCTCGACCTCAAGAGAAGCAGGGGGGGGGCTGCCTTGCCTTCAGGGGGGCCGGGGGGGAGGGGAAGTCCTTCGGGGGAGAAGGGAAGGCAGTGGGCCCAGGGGTGGGCTGCGCGGTGGTTAGAGGGCAGTATTGCAAAGTACTTCTGCAGCCCGCTGCCCACAATTTGGCAGTTCGAATTGCAGCAGGCTCCAGGTTGACTCAGCCTTCAGTCCTTCTGAGGTGGGTAAAATGAGGACCCAGATTGTTGGGGGCAACTGGCTGACTCTATAAATTGCTCAGAAAGGGCTCCTCCTTCCCTCCCTCCCTCGTTCTTTCCTTCCTTCCTTCCTCCCTCCCTCTTTCTTCCTTCCTTTCCTCCCTCCCTCGTTCTTTCCTTCCTTGCTTCCTTCCTATCTCCCTCCCTTTCTCCTTCTTTCCTTCCTTCCTCCCCCCTCCTACTTCCTTCCTCCCTCCCTCTCTCCTTCTTTCCTTCCTTGCTCCCTCCCTCATCCCTCCCTCCTTCTTTCCTTCCTTGCTTCCTTCCTATCTCCCTCCCTCCTTCCTTCCTTCCCTCCCTCCCTCCTTCCTTCCTTCCTTCCTTCCTTCCTTCCTTCCTTCCTTCCTTCCTTCCTTCCTTCCTTCTAAAGGTCAACTCAGCCTTCCATCCTTCCGAGGTGGGTAAAATGAGGAGCCAGCTTGTTCAGGGCAAGAGGCTGACTCTCTAAACCGCTTAGAAAGGGCTATAAAAGCCCTGCGAAGCGGTATATACGTCTAAGGGCTGATGCTATTGCTAAGTGGTAGCTAATTTTATGGCCGGTTCAGTGAACCAGCAAGCCCCTCCCCTCCCAGGAGTCCCCGAGCGGCCCTTTTGGATCCTAGGTAAGTGCAGGGCCTACGCAGAGCTCAGGGAAAGGTGAAAAACCAGCCTCCTGGAGGCTCTGGAAGGCCGGAAACAGGCCCATTTCCGGCCTCCAGAGAGCCTCCGGAGCCCGGGAAGTCCATTTTTGCCCTCCCGGAGTCTGGAAGACCCCCTGGGCCGCCGGGGGGGGAAACCCCCCCCCCCCCCCCAGCTGCGGTGCAGGAGGCCAACTAGGTCACGCCCACCATGGCCACGCTCACCACAGCAACCAGGCAGAGGACCGGTTGCTAAATTTTTTGAAGCCTACCCTGGAGTGGGTCTGACTCCCGACCACGGATTTGTCCCCCGCAGGATTGCTGACAACTTGCCGGTGGCGACGAGGCTGGAGTTCTACTCGAACCGTGAGGAGGAGGAGAAGAACAAGGAACGGGACCTTCAGTTCGAACACGGCTACCGACTTGGGTTCATGGAGAAGAACAGGGTAGGGGGACCAGGGTTCTTTGCCTGGGGTGGGAGTCATTTACGGACATCTGATGGGGGCTTTTTTCGCTCTGTCCCTTGATTCGCAGTAGTCCTTGACTTCCGGGACCAGAATTTCTGTTGTTAAGCAAGGAGTTTATTAAGTGAACTGTGGCTGGTTTTTTTGCGGCTGTTTTGCCCTGGTTCTTAAGTGAATCACTGCCGTTGTTAAGTGGATCTGGCTTCCCCCCCCCCATCGAATTTGCTTGTCAGAAGCCGGCTGGGAAGGTCGCAAAGGTCCTGAAACCGTAGTAAGGACGCGCCAGTGTCCCAAGGGCCTGAATTTTAGATCACGCGACCAGGGGGATGTCGTGACAGCCATAAATGCGAGGACCAGTCCTAAGTCACTTTTGTTTCAGTTCCGTTGCAACTTTGAACGGTCGCTGAATGAATTGTTGTAAGTCGAGGATTCCCTGTATTAGTGGGTTGCTCAGAAGGACCCCCAGTTTTTAGCTCAATGTTTGCCAGTGTTGAAGATGGTTGGACTTCATCTGCTAGAATTCCCCAGCCAACCAACTGTGGCTTACAACCACAATCGAGTCCAAAATTGAGGTGGCTAAGTGGAGAAATTTGTCACGTGAGTTGTGTCCAGTTTTTACGACTTCCCTCGCCATGTTTGTTACATGAATCATTGCGGTTGTTAAATTAGTCACGCAGTCATTAGGTGAACCTGGTTTCCCCATGGAATTTGCTTGTCGGGAGGTCACAAATGTGGTTTGTCAAGTGGCCAGATATAAATCACGTGTCCATGGGGATGCTGCCAGCGGTCGTAAGACTGAAAAAAAGTCCCGAGTCACTTTTTGAAGTTTTACGTTTCTGGATGTTACCCTAAAAGAGGACCTGACCTGGGGGGGCACACATTGCAGGCCTGGTCAAAAGGGGCCAGCAGAGATTATACTACCTGAGACTTCTCAGGAAACAACAACTGGATGGAAAACTGCTGGTGACCTTCTACCGCTGCACCAGAGAGAGTATCTTTACTTCCTGCACACCTGTGTAGGGTTTGCCAATTGCACAGGGGCAGATAGGAAAGCACTCCAGAGGGTTAACATCATTGCCCAGAGGATCATGGGTTGCCCTCTCCCCTCTTTGGAAGAGCTTCATAGCTCCCGCTGCCTTAAGAAAGTTCAAAACATTCTCAAAGATCCATCTCATCCTGGGAACCTTTTTTTTTGAACTATGACCATCTGGCAGACGGTACAGGATAATAAAAACAAGGACAAATAGGCTGAAAAACAGCTTCTATCCCAGGGCAGGAGCTCTTTTGAATTCTGCTGTATAGTGCAGTGTTGGTGTTATGTCGGGGGTTTCTGTTCAAAGTGTGGAGTGTGAAGGATGTGTGTTTGTGTTTATTTTCATGGTCATGATGTACGCTGAAGATGGTGTTTGATTTCGTTGTACGAAGTGCAGCGACAATAAAGTAAACTAAAACTAAAAAAATTTTCCAGTGCCGTTGTAACTTTGAACAGTCTCTAAGTGGATGTGTCATCCCTGGAGCCATTTTCCCCTGGCACCGTCAGGGCTGCCGCAGCGGGAGATGGGTTGAGCTGTGGTGAACGGGAGGGGGGAGGTAGAGACAGCTGGGGGATTGTAGCCCAAATAAAATTCTTTCCTCTGAGAACCAAGGACGTTCCCACCAGGTGCGAGGAGGTGGGATCTGAGACCAGCTGACCCTTGGACGGTGATCTGATGGGACCACGTGATGGATTCCGTGGGCTTTTAACTGGGGGGGGAAGGGGGAACCCGAGGGGGGTTTCCCCAGGGGCGTGATTCACCCGGTTCGGACTGGTTCAGGTGAACCGGGTGTTAAATTTACATCTGGTTCACCGAACTCGTCGTTGAACCAACCATCTGCCCTGCCCCTCCCCTCCCCGGGGTCTCCACATGGCCCGTTTCGGATGTAGATAAATGCAGAGTCTGTGCGGAGACTCTGGGATGGGGATAAAAAACGGGCCAAACAGGAAGTTCTGAAACTCCAGAAACGGGTTCTGTTTCCAGCTTCCGGAGCCCGGGGCAGGCTGTTTTTCACCCTCCCAGACTCCCGAGGGAAGCCTCAGGACTCTGAGGAAGGGGGAAAAAAAAACCCAGCCCTCCCAGAAGTTCCAGTAGGCCCTGCCCACCCAGCAACCAGGAAGAGAACCGGTTGCTGGGACGTTTGAATCCCACCCAGCTGGGTTTCCCGCAGGCGCGCCGATACGACAGGCCTAATAAACCTAATAAACTTTTAAGGAGTATGCCTGCCTTGGAGTTTTGATTCCGTCGGGCGTGTCGCTCGGAACCCTGACCGAAGGCGCTACCTGTGTTTGCTTTTAAGCTGTTAAAAATGAGGAATTTGCTCAAACCACAGTTAAAAAAAAAAAAAACCCAAGAACTCCCAAGGAGTTTACAGCAACCCTCAGGCTTTGCTGCTCCAGAAGGAGGTGTCTTCTCCGGTGGCACAATGGCTTTTTGTGTTACTTTTTACTGCGTGCCAGAGATCAGTGTGAGTCAATTGGAAAGTTGGGTAATTCTCCCCTTGGAGGACGTGGCAGAATGAGGAAATAGTGGACTTTTCGTTCAACAGGGTGGAAAACGAAAAGGCGAGACACGCGGATCTCTTTCCTTAAAAAAAAGTCCCTTCTCAAATTCCCTCCCGTTGCAGTGACTAGAAGGAGATTACAGGCGGTCCTCAAGTTATGACCCACAATTGAGTTCCACTTTTCTGTTGCTAAGCAAGGCAGTCGTTAAGTGGGTTTGGCCCCCTTTGGTGACCTTTTCTTGCCACCGTTTTTAAGTGAATCACTGCAGCGGTTAAGTTACGTGGTGGTTATGTGAATCTTCCCCATGGATTTTGCGTCTTGGAAGGTCGCCAAAGGGAAACACGTGACCCCAGGACACAGCCATCGTCGCAAGTACAAGTCAGTTGCCTGGCCCCTGAATCATGGGCCCATGGCCTGCTGCAGCAGTCGTAAGTGTGGAAAAAGGTCCTAAATCAGTTTTTCAGGGCCATTGTAACTTTGAATAGTCACTAAACAAACAGACTGTTGTTAAGTGGAGGACTCCCTGTACTGGAGAGCCCAGTCAGTTATGACGGAGTGTGAGTCATCCTGGGCCTTTTTTTAAAAAGAAACATAGAAAACGGACCGTAGAGAAAGACCTAGAGAGCCATCGAGTCTGTGTCCCTTTGGGTTTTCTTTTCTTTGTAACTTCTTTGTTCTTTCGTAGTTATTAGTTTTGTATTTTATTATTTATTTATTTAATCCAGCTTAAAATGATTTGATTAAATGAAATGAAACGATATGAAGAACGGTTGCAGGAACTGGGCCTGGCTAGTCTGATGAAGAGAAGGACCAGGGGAGACAGGAGAGCATCTTCCAATATTTGAGGGGCTGCCCCAGAGAGGAGGAGGAGGGGGTCAAGCTATGTATTCTTTCTATCTATCTATCTATCTATCTATCTATCTATCTATCTATCTATCTATCTATCTATCTCTGTCCTACCTATCTATCTACCTCTATCTCTGTCTAGCTCTATCTATATCTATTTATCCATCTACCTACCTACCTACCTACCTACCTACCTTACCTATCTCTCTCTATCTATCTATCTATCTATCTATCTATCTATCTATCTATCTACCTCTATCTCTGTCTAGCTCTATCTATATCTATCTATCCATCTATCTACCTACCTACCAACCCACCTACCTACCTACCTTACCTATCTCTCTCTCTCTTTCTATCATCTATCTATCTATCTATCTATCTATCTATCTATCTATCTATCTATCTATCTATCATCTATCTATCTATCTATCTATCTACCTACCTACCTACCTACCTACATCTGTCTATCTCTCTCTCTCTCTCTCTCTAATCTATCTACCCACCTATCTATCTATCTATCTATCTATCTATCTATCTATCTATCTATCTATCTATCTATCTATCTATGAATCTCTGAAGAACAGTTACAAGAACTGGGGCATGGCTAGTCTAGTGAAGAGAAGGATCGGGGAGACAGGATAGCAGCCTTCCATTATTGGAAGGAAGGCCAGACAAGGAACAACGGATGGAAACTGAACAAGGAGAGATTCAACCTAGAAATAAGGAGGAATTTCCTGACAGGGAGAACAATTAACCAATGGAATAGAAGTTGTGGGAGCTTCATCCCTGGAGGCTTTCAAGAAGAGATTGGACTGTCATCTGTCAGTAATGGTGTAGGGTCTCCTGCTTGGGCAGAGGGTTGGACTAGATGACCTATAAGGTCCCTTCCAACTCTGATTCTCTGTTATTTTGGGCAAGAGAAATGACCAGAAAGTTTCTTTTTTTGTCTTTGTGTGGACATGTTTGCTTTGACTTCCTTTCCTCATTTCTGCCTGCCTTGTGGTAAAAAGCTTGTGGTGGGGCAGAGTCCTGGCCCCGTAGCAGTTTTGTAATGCAAGGAGTTTCTCACTTTGTCAGGTTGTAGAACCTGTTTAGTTTTTTAAAAAGAATCTGGGAGCCCCTCTGATCAAGGGTGAAGGAAAGTGAGCTGCTTTTGTGTGAACTTTTTAAGTTAAATTAAAACCTGAATCTCTCATAGAAGTCTTATCACATTGGTCGCCAACCAGTGGGCCTGGGACCTCTGGTGGTGAGGAAATTTTGGTGGTCCACAGAGAAATGTCCCCGTCCCCCCCAAGCAGTTAATCCAGGCTGTGCAGAAACACAAGGCTGTGCCGCCCATATGGCCCACAGGAATACAAGGCTTGCGTCGCTTGCATTGCGCACAAACACGAGGTAGTGAGGGGACGGTGGAAGCAGACTTTCCCCACGCGCCTGGCCTGGCCACCGGGCTGCTTCTTTCTGCTTCTTTTTTCTTCTGCTTTTGGCTGCACGTAAGGAAAGCAGGAAAAAGTCTTTCTTTCTCCCCCCACAAACTCTGCCAGAAAGGAGTCTTGGGGACCCTGCAAGGCCTCCTGCTCCGTGTGACAAGTCTCACAAAGACTCATTTCTCATTTCTCCTCATTTCTGGCGGAGTTTGGGGGAGAGAAAGAGAGACTTCTGCTGCTTTTGCTGTTTTCCTTGCATGAAGACAAAAGTCTCTCTCTCTCTCTCTCTCTTCCTTCTCTCTGAGAACAGAGCTGGAGACAGTATCCTCCAATCCCAAATAAAGAATGATCGATTGGTAGGAAAACGGGGTGGGGAATTTTCCTGCAGACTCTTGGGGGGATTTTCCCAGGGCCTCTGGTCTGCGGGATTTAAAATGATGGGTTTGGTGGTCCCTGAGGTCCAAATGGTTTGGAACCCCTGGTCTATCAGGTGTCCATGGCACTCTGGGATGCGATTTGAGAAACTGTCTCGAAAGGGTCCTGTCCAGTAACTACATGGAGGGGAAAACTGCCCCAAAGCCTACTCCAAATGACTTTCTTCTGGTGTTTATGACCATTTGCCATAGCCAACTTGCCGTGGGACGAGAGTGAGACTAATACTGTTTCCCCGGAAATAAGACCTATCCCAAAAATAAGCCCTGGCATGTTTTCTTTACGTGTACGCCTAATATAAGCACTACCTCAAAAATAAGCCCTACTTAAGAGTCTGTGCAGCCAGCCGGACGTCCATTTTGTCTGGTTGCTCGTGGTGCTGCAGCCACGAGGTGAGGCGGGATGGTGGAGGAGCTACCTCACGCACCTCACACTGGATTACCTCAGGTCCCTCTCAGCCAGGCCGTCCATGTCCCGATATCTGCCTCACGGCGGCAGCACCAGCAACCCTGTGCAGACGGAGCCCTTTACGGCTGCTGGCCCGCGTTTTCTGCTCGCTCGTGGCTGCAGCAGAGCAGGAGCCTGAGCAATGTGTAGGTGCCGTGGCCGTGAATCAGGGTAGGTGTTGCGGTGTGGGTGGCCTGGCTGCGGAAGCCCTGAGGTAAACCGGTGCAGGGCGCATGGGTCAGCTCCACCCGCCCCGCCTCATGTTGCCCAGGCAACCTGCCACTCCGCAAGCAAGCAGAAGACGTGGGCCTCCTGTACATGAAAGACATCCCCCCAAAATAAGCCCTAGTACCTATTTCTGTGCCCAAAAGAAAATAAGGCCCGGTCTTATTTTCGGGGAAACATGGCTATCAAAGAAATGGTGGAATAAAATCATTAAGGAAAGGATGCAAAGGGAGGGATATAATGAAACGGGAATAACAAACATTCAAAACATATTTTTAAATTATTTTAAATACTGAAAAATGGTTGAATTGCCCTGCAACGGGATGTTATCCCGCGGTGAATTGGCTGCGCTGAGTTGGCCTCGGCGAGTTGGTAGGGCCGAGTTGCCCCATTCTGACACATTTTTGGCCTGGCATCTTGGGGTGAAGTCCCAAAGTAGGAAATTACATAAATAATAGTGGGAAAACTGGATTTGTTTGCACAGAACGTGCCAAGGGGAGAGCAACGTTCGGAACTGGTTCTCGGACCAGCTGTGAGCCGAGCACAGAGGCAGAAAACGTGGTTATTTTTCAGGATGCTTATCTGCCATAAGGGAACAATGGGGGTCCGTCATCCAAAATAAATTCAAAATTCCCCATACTATAAAATGCAGAAAGTCTTCAAACAAAGCAGAACGACCTGTGTGTGTGTGTGTGTGTCAAATAAAATAAGTCTTGAGAACAAACAGCAAACCAAGTTGGTCTCTTATTATCTATTTCAAATAATGCCACGGAATTGGTCAATTGTCCCGCCGTGAGTTGTCCCCTTCCGCTATTCTGGGCTCCTCTCACGCGTATCTCCGTGTCGTCTGTTCCAGTTCTTCCTGCACAACCACCTTTCCTTCATCCTGTACTACCACCAAGAGGAGGTGGAGGTGAACCAGGAGCCCACCTACCGGGTGGTTCGCTTCGAGGTCATCCCGCAAAGCATTGCGCTGGCAGGTAAGAGGGCCGGCGGCTGTTCTCACTGGGGGCTGAGCTGCTCAGGGGCTGCCCCAATCCCGAGGTGGTCCTCGGCTTACGAGCACAGCTGAGCCTGAAATTTCAGTTGCTAAGCGAAGCAGGTGTTAAGCGAGCTTTGCCTCACCTTACGACCTTTCCTGCCAGGTGTCTGGCTTCCAAAGTAATAACTCCGTAGAAAGCAAAGCTCCAAGGCAGACGAGTTCCCCAAAAGAACAGTTTTATTGGGGGGTCCTCATATTGGCACAAGCGGGTGAAAACCGGCTCTGAAATTTCCCGCGATTTTCACCTGATTAAACGGTTGACAATTCCCCCCTTTCCCCAAACAAGCAGTCACATTGTCCAATCGAGATGCTAGCTGGTTGCCTGGATACGGGGCTCCTCCTCTCCCCAGCCACCCGTTGGAATGTCCTTGGTTCCCACAGGAAACAATTCTGCTTTGGCTACAAACCCCCATCCAACTATGTCCCCCCTTCCCTATCCCTTCTTCACACAATGGCAACCCAGAAGCCTTCAAAATGGCCCCAGCCAGGTTCACTTCAAAGTTGACACCAGCGTTGTTAAGTGAAACTGGCTTCCCCACTGACTGCTGGTTAGAAGGTCGTAAAAGGGGATCGCCTGACCCCGGGATGCTGCAACGGTCATAAATATGAGTCAGTTGCCAAGCATCTGAATTTTGACCACAGGGATGCTGCAATAGTCCTAAGTGTGAAAAATGGTCGTAAGTCACTAAACGATCGGTTGTAAATTGAAGACTATCTGAACAATAGGTGCAAGTCCTTTCACTTTGTATTATCTTTCACTATTGTTAGAATCCCTAATAAAAAAATTTTTTTTAAAGGATGCTGAAGAATTAATGGGATTAGGCAAGGATGTTGTTAGGGTGTATATATATATATATATATATATATAGTTTTCTTAAGTTTTCGTGGGTACTTAACTAACCTGTGGAAGGATCAGCTACAACTTTAAAAGTACAACTACAATGATGTGGGAAAATACCCGAATAAAGCTGAATGCCATATACATATATATGTATATGTATATGTGTGTTTTCTTAAGTTTTCACGGGTACTTACATGTATGGCATTCAGCTTTGTTCGGGTATTTTCCCACATCATTGTAGTTGTGCTTTTAAAGTTGTAGCAACATTTCGGCAGAATCTCATCTGCCATCATCAGGCTTCTGTATTGTGTTCATCTGTGAGTCAGGCTTTTACAGCTCAAACACGCCCCAACCAGGCACCCAGATGAAACCTAGCTTCCTAACAAATGATAGCCGTCCATTTACCCGGAGCCAAGCTGCACTAAAGGCCTCCAATACAGGAACACAATGTTGCCAGCCAATCAAGAGACAAAAAGAGCCACAAAACAGACAGAAGATATTAGAAACACCAATCAAGCAGAACACAGCCAACTCCAAGATCAATAAACACAGACCAAGACTCCCAACCAATCAGGATGAAGAAATAACCATTCTGGCACAGCAGTAGGCTAGCCCCAAATTTAAAACAGAAACGGCTGTGAAAGTCTGCCTCACAGACGAACACAATACAGAAGCCGTGATGATGGCAGATGAGATTCTGCCTAAACGTTGCTACAACTTTAAAAGCACAACTATAATGGCGTGGGAAAATACCCGAACAAAGCTGAATAATATATATGTGTGTGTGTGTGTGTATCTTTGGTTATTCGGGTTTTCTCCTGCGTAAAACTGGAAGTATCCTAGCCAGGATACTTCCAATTTTACATGGGAGAAAACCCGAATAACCAAAGATCCACATACAAATACCTGCGAAAACCTCAGAAAACAAATATATATAGTAATTACTCTGAGAAGCACAGAGCCGAAGACACAAGCCTGAAGTTGATGAATGAGTCTTCATCGAAATGTCACCTAGATACTTCCAATTTTACGCGGGAGAAAACCCGAATAACCAAAGATCCACATATGTATGTGTGTATATATTTTTATATATATGTACGTGTGTGTGTCTATATATATACATATACATATACCCGAATAACCAAAGATCCATACATACACACACACACACACACACACACGGTATTCAGCTTTGTTCGGGTATTTTCCCACGTCATTTACCCATGGAAATCTACGAATATATATAGAATAGAATATATATATATATATATATTCGTAGATTTTCACGGGTACAGGTATGCAGGTCTTGGTGTGTTCGGGACTTTTCTTGTGTAAGATTAAAAAATGAATGAAACGTAGAGAATTGTTTGTGTTTTGTTGGGAGGGCAGGGTGTGACATGCTAGCACAGGGGTGTCAAACTTGATTTCACTGAGGTCCGCATCAGGGTTGTGTTCGACCTCGGAGGACTGGGGGGGGGGCTGGCATGGCCATGGTGGGCATAGCACAAGACTTGTGTCGGGGATACCTGTGGTGGCCATGCGCTAAGGCCCTTCCTCCTTCTTTCTTCTTCCTTCCCCTTTTTCCTTCTTTCCCTTTCTCCTTTCCTGCCCCTCCTTGCCTGCTCAAATGCAAAAGGGGAAACATTTTCCTTCTGTTTTTAGTTTGTTTTGCTAGCCCTCTGCCAGCGAAAACAAATCTCATGCCCCCGCTTTTTGGGCTGGATGACCTTGTGCAGTCCTCTGCCAGTGAAAACTCCCTACGGGGCAGATCTAAGCACCCCACAGGCGGGATATGGCCCCCGGCCCTTGAGTTTGACCACCACCCCCGTACTAGCAGAATCAAGTCAGGCATTTGCCAAATTTTGGAAGCCCTGAGCCCAAATCCCTGGCCCATAGCAACCATCAAGGACCGGAGGAGGCAGAGTTGCCTGTCGGGCGAGATGCTTTGAGGAAGTCTCGGGTCACCTGGATAGGGTATCCTTTGGCCAAAGAGAGATCATCGGTCCTGACCCTCTTTTTTGGTCTGCAGACATGAAGGTGGATGAGAAGGGAGTTTGTGTCCTGCCCGAAGCTGCCAGCGCCTCCGCTCAAGAAATCGACCCCACTAAGCCCAATGAGTTATTTTTTACTTATTCTGTGCACTGGGAGGTGAGTACTGGTGCTGGGGGGGGGGGGGGGGGGGGGGGACATCGGGAAGAGATTTTTCATCCTGCCTTGATTACTTTAGAATTAATTCCAGGCAGCAAACAAACCTAATACTCCTCCTTCCTCCTCTTTTCCTCACGGCAATAACCCTGGGAGGTCAGTTGGGCTGAGAGAGAGTGTGATTGGCCCAAAGTCACCCAGCTGGTTTTCATGCCTAAGGCGGGACTAGAACTCACCGTCTCCTGGTCATTGGCCCAAAGTCACTCAGTTGGGTCTCATGCCTAAGGTAGGAGTAGAACTCAGAGTCTCCTGGTCATTGGCCCAAAGTCATCCAGCTGGCTTTCGTCCTAAAATGAGACTAGAACTCACAGTCTCCTGGTGATTCATTGGCCCAGTCACCCAGCCAGCTTTCATACCTAAGGTCGGACTAGAACTCACCGTCTCCTGGTGATTTGGCCAAAGTCACCCAGCCAGCTTTCGTGCTTACGGTGGGCTTAGATCTCTTGATTTCCAGGCCGGTACCTTAACCACTACACCAAACTGTCTCCTTTAAATATTTTCTCCAAGGCTGGTCTCTAAAAATCCCCCTCCCTGCCCCCAAGCTGACGTTCTATTCTAATTTTTGCCCTGGGTAACACCGTTGTTCAAAGGAAGGTGTGGTTAGCGCTCCTGGGGGCCACCAGAGAGGATGTGGTCAGTTTTCCTGGACAACTAAGCTGAGAGGGGCTACTCCCAGCCCTTGGGGGTAACAGATTTTATAAATTGAGAATATAGTTCCATTCCTTCTGTGCCGGCAAAGACCCCTCCTGTAATTCCTTGGGGGCAAAAGGAGGAATTTCAGCGCCATCGGCCACTGCTATAACCGTTGGTTTTAGAGCAGAGAAATTAATAGAAACAAGACTCCACTTAACATTCATCTTCTTCCGTCTTATTTATTGATCAAATCTTAAAACCATCCGTCTCCTTCCCGGAGCGACTTTGGATGAATTCTAGAACATAAAACAGCATATATAACATTCAAAATGAGGCAAGGGCGATTAAAATTCAATGTTAAAAAGTCAAGGGTTGTCTGCGTTTTGTTGTCACTCTTTCGAGGGAGATGGGCAGTTCAGTAGAAGCATTAGTACCCCGCTTTGTAAAGCCTTAGTAAGGCCACACCTGGAACGCTGCGTTCAGTTTTGGTCGCCGCATTACCCAAAAAGATGTTGAGACTTTGGAAAAAGTGTAGAGAAGAACAAATAAGAGGATCAAAGGCCCGGAGACTCAAAACATAGGAAGAACGACAGCAGGATTTCGGTTTGGCTAATCTAGAGAAAAGAAGAACTTTTTTGGGGGGCAGGGGGGGTGGACTCCATTGCAGTCTTCCAGGATTTGAGGGGCTACCCTAGAGAGAAGGGGACCAACCTATTTCTCAAAGCACCCGAAGGCAGGAGAAGAAGCAACGGATGGAAACTCACCAAGGAGTAGAAGCAACCTGGAATTGAGGAGAAACTTCCTAACAGTGAGGACAATTAATCAGTGGAACTGCTTGCCACATGAAGTTCTGGGTGCTCCATCCCTGGAGGTTTTTAAAGGAGAGAACTGCATAGTTTTTTGTCTGGAAGGGTATAGGGTCTCCTGCTTAAGCAGGGGGGTGGACTAGAAGACCTCCGAAGTCCCTTCCAGCTCTATTCTGATTCTGAAATGTGAATAATAAGTAAAACCAACGAACGCACCTTGAACAACCCGTGCAACCCAGGCCCCGGAAGGATGCTGAAAAGAGCTTCCGGGGGTGGGTTGTTCAAGCAACCGGTCCCCGAATCAGGAAAGGGCGCTAGGCCAGCCCGTAGCAGAGCCCCCTCCCCATCCAGCTCTCCCCTCCCTTGTGTTTTGCAGGAGAGCGACGTGAAATGGGCCTCCCGTTGGGACACCTACCTCACCATGAGCGATGTGCAAATACATTGGTTTTCCATCGTCAATTCCGTCGTGGTGGTTTTCTTCCTTTCAGGTGAGTAAGGAAAACCGGGGGCGCTTGAGCTGGGTCGATTCGAATCGGGGTCGGTTTCATCTGGCCAGGGGAATTTGTCTCCGGTACAAAGGAAGCACGCCGTGAACTTGCCGAACAACAGAGAGAATAAATACGGTTGATCGTAAACTAGCAGCGTCGACGAATTTACCGTCGGTCAATTGCGGAAGGCGGTTTGCCTCGGGAACAGCTGACATCCCGAGACGAAACAAACCTCTTAACGCCATCAGACGTTCACATCTGCCTATCCCAGGTTCCTGGGAAGGGCTCGATAGGTAGACAGAAAGGCCAAAATCCAATCCAAACATCCGGCTGACTGGGTGACAGCCCATAATAACACCAGTAAAAAGGTGGGGGTAAACAGGGTAATAGGAACCCCGTAGCTAGGCGGTGCAGCTGGAAGATGCCAGCAGAATTTCTGAATCGCCTTTGCTGTTTTAATAACCTATTCTGTCTATTTTTGTATGTTG